AAAAAGCAAAGATTATATTATCCACAGGTAAACAGGGGGAAGGTCAAATCAGTACCCTATCCGACAGCAGGTTAATAGGGAAAGGCCAGACCAATATCCTATTGGACCTCAACTGGCCTGGCCTCCCTCATCCGGGTGTAAGAGACCAGAAAGTCAGGAGATGAAACAAAGAAGAGGGGAAAATAAGTGCTTTAAATGTGGGGAGACTGGACACTTTAAGAATGTCCAGAATGGGAAAGAGAGCATAGGGAAACTGTTCCCTTAATGACCTTTGATGAGGAATAGGGGGAGTCAGGGGCTCTTTTACTTTGAAGGGTCCCACTCAGAGCCCTTGATAAATTTAGAAGTGGGACCACAAGGTGAAGCTGTCACTTTCCTGACTGACTCAGGCACTTCCAGATCTTCCCTCTGTCTTCTGCCCAGGGCTTAATCTATTCCCTGGAAAGGCTACTAATTTCTAGGGTAAAGGGAGAAAGCTTTCCAGTTAAAATATTACAAGAAACAGATGTTTACTTCCAAGACAGGACCACTAAGATACAATTTCTCCTAGTCCCTGAGGCAGGTACCAACCCGTTTGGAAGCGATCTAATGACCCAATTAGGAATCAGTTTACATGTAAAAAGGGATAAATTACAAGCATCCCTAAATCTGCTTACTCCATGGGCTAAGAAACAAATTAAGCCAATAGTCTGGGCTAGAGACAGGAACCAGAGCGGCCTCCAGGTTACACCTATCAAGGCTCAATTAAAGAAGACGGGGCTTTCTGCTCCAGCTCCCGCCACCCAGATCGCCACCACTACGCGCGTTCTCTGCAGCGGAGGGGAGCAGTGCTATGCCAGCGAAGTTCCGGGAGCAACTGGATGGGGCCTTGCTCCCTGGGCTCTGGGACCGGCGCCCACGCGCTGCCCTTTGTACGAGTTTCAGGGCCTGCTTGTGGTTACAAATCCTCTGAGAAAATTATTTTGCCATATCCATCCTACAACAGTTATCAAGACCCGAAAGTTTCATTCTGTCCCTTTCTACATAGTGCGGTTTTATTTCTTATTCAGCTTTAGCATAGGAAATACAGTCCTTTAATGTCCTTGGTTATTTTTGAGGTCTTCTAACATGCATAATTCCTTAATCTAAACTCAAGTTACTTAAATTTAAGTATACTAAAGAATCTCTTTTGTTTTTGAGATTACAAATGTGTATAAGATTAGATATCTTTGTTATTTAGGTTAATAAACAAACCTCAACAAAAAAAAAAAAGACGGCGGAGGTTGTTAGGAAAGAACAATACCCTATTCCTATGGAGGGGAGGATAGGTCTGAAGGCAGTTATTGAGGGACTGATGCAAAATGGGCTCCTTGAACCTTGTATATCTCCCTTCAATACCCCAATCCTCCCAGTCAAAAAGATGGTTGGGTCCTACCAGTTAGTTCAAGACCTTAGAGCCAGCAATCAAATAGTCCAAGCTAAACACCCAGTAGTCCCAAACCCCTACACTCTTATCAGCAAAATTCCATATAATCATGAGTGGTTTGGCGTAATAGACTTAAAAGACGCATTTTGGCCCTGCCCATTAGATGTGAATAGTCGGGACATATTTGCCTTTGAATGGGAGGACCCCCACTCAGGATGCAAGCAACAGTACAGAGGAACTGTCCTTCCCCAGGGATTTACCAATTCCCCTCATCTCTTTGGCCAGATTTTAGAACAAGTCTTAGAAAAGTTCATATTAGATCCCCACATGTGCCTCCTCCAATATGTGGATGACTTACTTTTGTCAGGGGATAATGAGAAAGAACTCTTCAACACCACCATTAGCTTTATAAATTTTCTAGAAAGCTGGGGACTTTGTATTTCAAAGAATTAAGTTACAGTTTGCTGAGACTGAAGTAAAGTATCAGGGTCATTTGATCAGTAAGGGCCAATGAAGGACTGTTCCAGAAAGAACAGAAGGAATTACTGGTCTCTCTCTCCCAGGAACAAAACAAGAATTGAGAAAGTTCCTTGGCTTAGTGGGATACTGCCGGTTGTGGATAGACTCATATGCCCTTAAAACTAAATCTTTATATCTCAAATTGACCCAAGAGGGACCAGACCCCCTCTTTTGGACCCCCAAGGAGATAGCACAAGTAGATGAACTAAAATAAGCCCCTATCACAGCTTGGGTGCTAGCCTTGCCCTCTCTTGAACAGCCCTTTCACCTCTTTGTCAATGTAAATAAGGGAGTTGCCCTTGGATGCTAACCCAAAAACATGGGGGCCAATGTCAACCTGTGGCCTTCTTATCTAAGTTCCTAGATCCCATCCACCAGAGGTTGGCCTGAGTGTATTCAGGCAGTAGCAGCTACAGCCCTTTTAATCAAAGAAAGTAGAAAATCACCTTTGGGAGAAACCTAATTATTAGCACTCCCCATCAAGTTAGGACAATCTTAAATCAGAAGGTGGGTAGATGGCTAATGGATTCTAGGATACTAAAGTATGAGGCTATCTTGCTAGAAAAGGATGACCTAACTTTAACTACTGATGAGGCCCTAAATCTAGCCACTTTCTTGGCAGGAAGGCAGGAGGGAGGAGCCCCCAAACATAAATGTTTAGATATTATTGAATATCAAACAAAAGTGAGATCAGATCTCGGGGAAACACCTTTCCAGATCAGGTTCCATTTCTTTGTGGATGGATCCTCTCGGGTAATCGAGGGAAAAAGGCATAATGGATAGTCTATATAGACAGGGAGGCCATGAATATAATAGAATCAGGCCGACTCCCTAACAATTGGTCAGCATAGACTTGCGAATTGTTTGCCCTAAATCAGGCCTTAAAACACTTAAAGGACAAAGAAGGGACCATATCCACTAATTCAAAATATGCATTTGGTGTGGTCCAAACCTTTGGAAAAATCTGGATGGGACAGGGCTTAATCAATAGCAAGGGCCAAGACTTGGTACACAGAGAATTGATTCAACAAAAATTAGAGCGCCTAAAACTACCTGAAGAAATAGCCATAGTCCATGTGCCAGGTCACCATGAGACTTGGGAAAATTCTTTTGCAGATGAGACAGCAAAACAGGCTACTCTGACCTCTGAGGCCCTAGTCTTTTGTCTCATTCCACACCTCCCTGCTCCTCACATCACCCCTCCTTTTATCCCCTCTGAGTAAGAACTAAAAAAACTTGGGGCAGTCAGGACTGAACAGGGAAAATGGGTTCTCCCTGATGGGAAGGAAATGATCTCAAAGCCCCTGAGAGAACTCCTTACCTATCTCCATCAGGGGAGCCACTGGGGAACCCAGTGCCATGTGTGATGCAGTTTTGCAAGCCTATGAGTGTATAGGGATCATTAGCCAAACAAGTATCAAAAGCAATTATCAGTCTTACTTGTCGAAAGATTAACAAGCAAGCTCTGAGACAGAGACCAGCTGGGGGTAAGAAACCCTGGGTTGTGACCTTTCCAAAGCATTTAAGTAGATTACACTAAAATGCCCAAAATAGGTCATCTTAAATACCTCTTGGTTATTGTAGACCACCTCACTCACTGGGTCGAAGCTATCCCTTTCCCAGGAGCCAATGCTACAAATGTAATTAGGGTATTACTAGAAAACATAATCCCAAGGTTTGGGGTTTTAGAAAATACAGACTCAGGCAATGGGAATCATTTCATTACCAACATCCTTAAGGGACTTATGAAAGCGCAAGAGGTCAAATGGGAATATCATACTCCCTGGCATCCACCTTCCTCAGGGAGAGTTGAAAGAACGAATCAGACTCTTAAAAACCAACTCACTAAATTAGTCTTAGAGACCAGACTACCTTGGACTAAATGTCTTCCCATAGTGCTACTCAGAATTAGGATGGTCCTTCAGAAGGACACTGGCCTTTCCCGCTATGAAATGCTTTATGGGCTTCCTTTCCTTAGCTCTGTTACTGATGTACCTTCCTTTGAAACCAAAGACTATTTCCTCAAAAATTACATACTTGGATTGTCCTCTACTTTACTTTGTCTTAGGAAAAAAGGATTGTTAGCACAGCTCCTCCACTTGACTTTCCTGTTCACCCACACCAGCCTGGCGATCATGTGCTGGTCAAGACCTGGAAAGAAAATAAGCTTGAGCCAGCTTGGGAAGGACGCTTCCTGGTCCTGCTGACCAAGGAGACAGCTGTCCAGATCACAGAGCAAGGGTGGACTCATCTCACACAGGTAAAGAAGCCGCCCCGCCCAACCAGAAGGAACAATGGGCTATGCTCTCACATCCCGGCAACACAAAAGTGACTTTTAAAAGACTATAGTGAAAATATTCTTTCCCTTTCATTTGGGAAATGATACGCTTATTATTAATGTAACTCAGAGTACCTTTCCCTTAATTGTTGAATTCGATGTATGTCAGGTCCTTCCTGGCAGAAACCTTAAGTCCCAACTTCAACTCCAAGGATACTCCCTTTATATGTGTCCCATCCCGGGACCCACAGGGAAGCCTGGTATCTGTGCAGAGTGGACAGATGAGGGGTGGAACACTGGATATAAAGGATACACTTCCCCCTTTTACGAAAATCCTAAGGGCTGGACTAGACCACAGGGCACTGGAAAGACTATGATTTCCACCATACAAAATAATTGGCAGTCTTTTAACAGACTACAGTTGAAATTACAGCTGTTTCAGACACACCCCTCTCCTGCTTGTAAAGACAAACAATGCAACCCACTTATATTAGTCATAGAAAACCCTTGGAATATGACATGAGAACCATCTTTATTTCGCAGATGTGGGTTGGGGCCAGATGTCTCAGAGAAAGACCCATTAAGTGCACTCCATCTAGTTCCCAACTCCTCCCAAGTGACACCCAGTTCTACCTCCACTCTAACATTACCTCTACATTTGTACAACAATCAAACTCAGGTAACCGTAGTCAAGGTCCTAAGACAAACTGTGGCTATTGAAGTCGGATACAGGGATACAAATGCTTGGATGAAATGGATAAAATATTCTGTCCACACACTGAATAAGAGTGATTGCTATGTTTGTACTACTGGGAGACCAGAGTCTCAAGTGGTCCCATTTTCATTATGATGGTCCTCAGGTCCAGATGGAATATATTGCATGTTGGCTATTTCAGGATGCCAAGGCCTGGGGCAACAAATCCTGCCAGATGCTATCACTACTGTTCCCAAAGGTCAGGGGTCCTGCAGGTCAGCCCCCAAGGACTATTAGGCCACCCACCCTAGACGTTAACTATACCTCATGTCTCACCAGATGGGATGATTGACAAATGTGGGAAATCCAATAGACTGCAGTAAAAGCCGGTCCTTCAACAGCCTCACAAACCAGTCCACACTCTTGGTGGGCAGAGCCGATGTCTGGTGGTTCTGTGGAGGACCTTTACTTGAGACTCTCCCAGGTAACTGGGGAGGCACCTGTGCTTTGGTGCAGCTAGCAATCCCTTTCCCCCTAGCATTTATTCCCCAGCCCATGCCACAACATCTAGAAAAAGGAGGGACATAGACACCAACACTGCAGCCAACCATAGAGGCTCCCTTGATCCTCGTGCTTACATTGATGCCATCAGGGTTCCTAAGAGAGTGCCAAATGAATTCAAAGCCAGGAGCCAAATTGCAGCGGGGTTTCGATCAGTACTCCTTTAGTGATCCACTATAAATAAAAATGTCAATTGGATTACTTATATTTATTATAACCAGTAAAGGTTTGTTAACTATACCAGAGATGCTATAAAGGAATAGCAGAGCAATTGGGACCAACAGCTAGCATTAGACATGATGTTGAACAAAAAGGAATGAGCTTGCATAATGATTGGAGTTTCGTATTGTATGTATATACCATAATACAGCCCATGATGAAACTATTACTAAAATCCTACAAGGATTAACTACCCTATCTAATGAGCTAACTGAAAATTCAGGTATAAATGATCCCTTTGCTGACTTAACAGAAAAATGGTTTGGAAGATGGAAGGCCTGGATGACCTCAATCTTAACCTCCTTGATCGTAGTAGCTGGAGTTTTAATTTTATCAGGATGCTACATAATTCCTTGTGTACAAGGACTAATACAGCGGTTGAGACAGCCCTCACGAAACAATCACCCCCCACCCTACCAAAATAACGTGTTTCTATTAGAAACGCAGGAACACAAGAGCCAACAGCTCCTAAATGAGTTTGAAGAAAATAATTTAAATTAAAGAGGGGAAATTGTATGAAAAATTATGTTTTCTATCAAAGTATTTGTTACCCTCTTAGATTACTTAAAAATTCCTCAGGTCACCATCTTAGGTGACTTGCATGTTTAAAGGGTCCTTGCTTCTTCTTCTGGATTCCTATACAACTCCATTGCCCACCAAACTGCATGCCCTAACCCATCCCCCAAGCCTTTTAGCCAATCAAGGGAGATTGTGAACCTCTGACCTGGACAAAGGGGAGGGGCAGGTACGACTGTGTCAGGGATGTAAGCAAGAGCCACTGTTAGTCATTCTGTGCTTGCATGTTGCTTAGCGGGAATGAGCACATGCTTGCACCCTCTTGATCAAGAGAAATTGCCTTGTTAAGATTTTCTCTCTCTTGTGTGTCTGTTTTCAGCACCGGAGGGTCTTTAATTCCAATAGGAAGCAGAGATCAGGAGGATCGCTGGTCAAAACCAACCCAGGTAAATAGTTCTCAAGATACTTTATCTCTAAAATACCCAACACGAAAAAAGGGCTGGTAAAGTGGCCCAAGTAGCAGAAGGCCTGCCTAGCAGGCATGAAGTCCTGCATCCAAACCCCAGTAGTGCTGAAAAAAGAAAAAAAAATAACAAAACTTTCTTCAGCTAAACTAACCAAGAAAAAAAGAGAAAAGATCCAAATAAATAAAACCAGATATCAGAAGGGGGACATTACAAATACTAACACAGAAATACAAAGGATCATTAGGGATTATTATAAACAGCTATTTGTGAAAAAACTGGAAAACCTAGAAAACAAAACACATAAATTTCTGAACACATGCATCCTGCCAAAATTGAGCCACAAAGACATAGAAGACCAGGCCAATAACAAGTAATGAAACTGAATCAGTTTAAAAAGGAACTAATGTCAACTCTCTTCACACTGTTCCAAAGCTCTGGAGGAGGAGTCCTTCCAAACTCACTCTATAAGGACAGCATTATCCTGACAACAAACCAAAAAGAAAGCCATAGGCCAATATTTCTGATGAACGTAGATATAAAATATCAACAAAATATTAGCAAATCAAATCCAAAAGCATACAAAAAAAATTAGATACCATGATCAAGTGAGATTTAGCCCAGAAATTCAAGGATGGTTCAACATACACAGATCAATAAACATAATTATATTTAAGCTAAAAACCTAAGCATAGAAAGGATAAAAATCACATGATCATCAACAGATGCAGAAACAATCAAAATTCAACACCCTTCATCATTATAACCCTCAAAAATTAAATATATATGGAGTACTTCAACACAGTAAGGGATATGGATATGTGTGTGCATGTGTGTGTGTATATACAGACCTAAAGCCCGATCAGACTGAATAAGGAAAAGGATGTTCACTTTTACCACTCATATTCAACACAGTACTAGAAGTTTTAACCACAGCAATAACACAAGAGAAAGAAGTCAAGAATATTCAAATAGGAGAGGAAGAGGTCAAATTATCCTTGTTTGCAGACATGATTTTATAAATATCAAAATCCTAAGAGACAAGATTTTATATATACTTAAATCCTAACAACTCCACCAAAAAACAGATAGAACTGACTAATAAACAAATTCATTAAAAGTCACCATATAAAAAAATTCGACATACAAAACTCAGTAGCTTTATACATCAATAATGAAATTGCTGAAAAGGAAATCAAGAAAGCAATCCGATTTACAAAAGCTATTAAAAATAATAAAATACCTGGAAACAAATGTAACCAAGGAAGTGAATGATCTCCATAATGAAAATTAAAAACAATGATGAATGAAACTAAAGAGAACACAAAAAACAGACACATTTCATGTTCATAGATTGGAAGAATTAGTTAAAATGTCCATATACCCAAAATAATCTGCAGATTCAACATAATTCTTATCAAAAAATCCATGACATGCTTCACAGAACTATAAATACAGTCACAAAATTCACATAGAAGCTAGGGGTGGTAAAGCATGCCTACAATCCCAGCACTAGGGCAGCTGAGGCAGGAGAATCAAGAGTTCAAGGCCAGCATGGGCTGCAAAGCAAGACCCTATCTCCAAAAACCAAACCAAAATTCATACAGAACCACAAAAGATGACAAAAACCCAAAGCAATCCTGAGCACAAAGAACAAAGCTGGAAGCATTACAACAACTGACTTTAAAGCATATTACAAAGCAGGAGGAGAGATAGGTGTTAAGAAAGAGTAAAACATACAGGGTGAATCTGGTCAAAATGCAATATATGTATGTATGTAAGTATAACAATGAATGTCTCTGTACAATTAATTTATGCCAACAAAAAAATTTTTTTAGGACTGGAGGCCTGGCTCAAGCAGTAGAGGACCAGCATAGCAAGAATAAAGCCTTGAGTTCAAACCCCAGTATCACCAAAAAAAAAAAAAAAAAAGTTTCTTTTAAACAATACAAAAAGTCATAATAACCAAAACAGCATAACAACATAACAATGGCATAGTATAGAGAAATTAGAAATGAATCCATGTATTTACAGCCAATTGAGTTTCAACAAAGGCAGCAAAGATAAACAATGCAAGAAGTCTCTTCAATAAATGGTACTAGAGACCTGGATTATTCACATGCAGAAGGAGGAAACTAGGCCTCTCTCTCTAATCATATCCAAAAATCAACTAAATCCAAAAACTTAAATATAAAACCCCAAGCTTAATATAGGGAGAACACTTCAGTGAATTGGTCTGTGTAAAGATTTTTTAGATATTGTCCTAAAAGCACAGGCAATAAAAGCAAGAGTTGAAAAGATTATTTCAAACTAAGAAGCTCCTGTACAGCAAAGGAAACAATCAAGAAAACACACAGACAATCCAAAGAATGGAGAAAAAAAATAAAACTATTCATTGGCAAGGAATTCATATCCAGCATATATAAGGAATTCAACTCAAAAGCAAACAAAAGAGGATATATAAGGCTGAGGAGGAAATCACCAAGGAAATGCAAATCAAAACCACAATGAGATATCATCTCATCCCACAGAATGGCTATTATGAAATAGATAAAAAATAGGGCTGAGGGTATAACTCAAGTGTCGGAGCAACTGTCTAGCAAACCCAAGAACCTTGGTTCAATTTCCAGTGCTGCCAAAATTTTAAAAAATAACAAATGCTGGCAAGAACAGAATGGCTATACTGGGGTTTGAACCCAGGGCCTCAAGCTTGTTAGACAGGCACTCTACCCCTCTACCTATGTGCCCCCTTTTTAGAAAATCCTTTATTTCATATCCTCCCATATATTTTGAATTTTTTTAACTCAGGTCCTTGCACCAAGCACTCCACCACTTAAGCCACACCCCCAGTCCTGAGAAGGAACTCTCACACACTGTTGGTGAGAAGGTAAATTAAGACAGTCACTATGGAGGTTACTCAAAAAAAAAAGGAAGGGGGGGAGGGGCGCAGGAATGGGGATGGAGCTCAATAGTAGAGCACCTGTCTAGTATGCACAAGGCCCTGGGTTCAATCCCCAACACTGCAGGAACTTTAAAAAAAAGAAAAGAAAAGAAAGAAAGAAGGCCAGGTATAGTGACATGTACACACAATCCTAGAACTTGGAACTTGGGTCAGGATGATCACTTGAGCCCAGGAGTTCAAGACCAGCCTGGACAACAGAGCAAGTCACTGTCTAAATAAACAAACAAACAAGCAACTTAGAGGGAGCACTACCATGTGCTCCAGCAATTTCACTATCAGGTACATATCTAGAGAAAATGTAACCATTGTGTTGAAAAGTTATTTGCACTGGCATTTTTATTGCAGCACTAGCCACAATAGCCAAGACTAGCCAACAACACAGGTATCCACCAACAGATGAGTATATGAAAAATGTGGTATAGATATACAATGGAATATTACTCAACTCTAAAAAGGAAATGTGTCATTTGCAAGAACATGGATAGAGCTGGAAAATACTATATATAAAGTGATATGAGTCAACCACAGAAAGACAAATACTACAGTTCTCATTTACATGTGGAAGGTAAAGTTGATCTCAAAGAAACAGAGAATAGAATAGTGTTACCAGAACCTAGGAAGGGTGTTAAGGATGGGAGGGATGAGAAAGCATATTTAACAGGCACACGGGTACAGGTGACTAACTTCTAACCTTCTATAGCACAGCAGGAGAGTAGGACAGCTATGGTTGACAATAATTAATTAAATATTTCAAAACAGCTAATTAGATTTTAAACAGCCCCAACGCAGAGAAATGATGTATGTCTGAAGTAATAGATAGGTGAACTACCCTAATCTATACATCATATGCATGTTATTAAAATGGCATACTATACACCATAAATACAGATTATGTTTTGATTTTAAATATATAAAATAAACTTTATTAATAAAATAAATATAAATTTAAAATAAAGCCTATCATAAAATAATACTACAGGTAAACTGCAAGTATTAGTATGAACTCGTATTTATAATTGTGAAGACAAACCATTACTTCTAATTACTAATGTAGCACCAAAGTGGACTCACATAACTCATTCTCAACAGAAACAATATGGTTTTTGTCTCTAATACTATTTTCTACTAAAAGAACTAGAAGACCTTAGAGAGCAGCTGATTTCCTATGCTGGGGCAGGAAGAACTGAAGATGAGCTTAAGAAATAATGCTTCCAAAGGGCAATGAGCTCTGCAAAGCTTTGAGATGATATTCAAAAGGGCTCAAAAGCAAGCTGACTAGTTGAACTACAATAATTTGAACACTAAAACATAATCTTTAATTATAATTAACTGTAGTTAATTAATTACAATTAATTAAAGCAAGTTTGCAAAGACCTGATTATATGATTCACAAAGAAAACTGGAATTTCTCTTTCCTTCAAGTAATTAGCACTTCATTCAAGTTGATTTTATTCACAAAGGAAAATTCACAAAGACTGGTCACAGTGACCACCTCTCAAAGACAAACAAGACTTTCTTATAACAAACTAGTCTATGACATTTCTTACTACTTTCCCAACAGCCACTTCTAGATTACTCATTCCTACCCACCCACCATAGAAGGATGTTCATAGTAAGTTAATATGTCAAGCCACCAGATTTCAATTAGTTAAGGGTTCTAATAACCCTTGGGTCTTGAAAAATATATGGAGAGGTTAAGACCTTGAAGCAAACTAGAAATGCATGTGCCTAGAAGTATAGTGTAGGCACTGGGGACAGCAAACGAGCCAAATCCCCTGATCTCATGATGTGCACATTCTAGTGTGGAAGGTATAATAAATAAACTTGGAATACTCTGTCATACCTGGTAAATACTAGGAAGGGAAATAAACCAGAAGAACAGGTCAGAGAATGGCAAATTTTGCTTTTTAGACAAGTTGGTTGGAAAGACCTCTCTGAGAATATAGGAAACAGAGCAGAGATTTGACTTAAGTAAGGATATAAGCTATATCAGTATCTGGGAGAAAAGTGTTCCAAGCAAAGAAAACAAAGTATGTGAACACCTGGGAAAGGAACGTCATGAACTCTAAGAAGAGCAAGGAAGTCATTAAGGCTGGAGCCCAGAGATGAATGGGAATAGTAGAAAGATAGGGGTGAAGACCCAGGACTGTGTTCTGAATATTTCTGAAGGCTTTGGATAGTTGGCAGATACAAGTAAAGGCTCTTAATTTAGGTTTGGAAGAATCACTATGGCTATGATGGGGAAAACAAGAGTAGAATGAAGTAAAAAGAAAAGCTAGGAAGCCATCTAGAGGCTGTGCAGTAGCCCAGGTGAGGAGAGGTGGTAGTGCTAAGTTTTGGAATGACAGCAGCAGAGGAGATAAAAGTAGTTAAAATTCAGGATATACTGGAAGATAAAAGCTAAAGGATTTCCAGTGGCTGGATGTTTAGAAAGTGAATTTCATGTTTTCAGCCTGAAATACGTATGGCAGCATTTATTAAGATGGGAACAAACAATGGAAGAGGAAAAGGTTTCGAGATAACAAGAAATGTCAGCCAGGAACAGATGGTTCATGCCTGTAATCTTAGCTACTTTGGAGGCTGAGATCTGAAGGATCACAGTTTGAGGCCAACCCAAGCAAACAGTTCACCAGACCCCATTTCCAAAAATGGATTGGAGGTGTGGCTCAAGTGATAGAGCAGCACCTGCTTTACAAGTATGACATCCTCAGTTCAACCCCAGTCCCACCAAAGGAGGAGGATCAGGAGGAGGAGAAGAAGAAAGTCTTAGACCACACATTAAGTATGAGATCCTCTTTAAACATCTAGCAGGAAATGTTAAAGGAAGAAGTTGGAGATACAGACTGTGTCAAAAGCAAGAAAAGTGCTGGTATTTTTTTTACCCCATATGAATGGGGTAAACTTTTATATTTTTATGCATCAATTAAAACTTTTTTAAATTTAAAGAGATGGCAAAATAAATTTTTACAGTAGCCAGCACATAGACAATATTTAAATCCACTAGACCGAACAAGATCATCTGATGTGTGAGAAAATGAACAAACAGAATGAGGAGACAAAAGAAAAACCAAGTGTGTGTGGTGTCCTGAAAGTCCAGAACAAAAAAAGTTTCACTCCAGTCTTTAGCTATAGAAAATATACTGAATAGTTAAGGAGGATAAAGACTAAAAACTGGTTTAGGCAAAATGAGTTTATTAGTGACACTGACAAGAATAATTCTAGTAGAATGAGAGGAAGAAAACCTGTAAGAGTGAGTTCATGAGAAAATGATTGAAAACAATGAGCAACCATAAGACAACAAACTTTTTCAGGGATTTCACGGACACCTTTCGCAAGGATTTTGTATCAGGATGAGCAAAGAAACTGTACAGTCCCTAGCAAGGACATTTGGTCAAGAGAAGTTGTCTGTGTTTAAGAGGGGTGATTCTGCAGCAGTACATTTGTATGTTAATGATTCGTGGTGAGGGGAAATTCCTGGCACATGAAACAAAGGAAACTGCAGAACCAAACTGCAAGAAAGTGAAAGGAGACAGAACCAAAGGCACAGAGTTGGCCTCAGACAGACAGAGATTCTTCATCCCATTTTACCAAAAAGGAAGGTAGAGTACGTGGGCAGAGATGTAAGCAGGAAAGGAGATTTGATGGTGGGTAAATGTGGAATTTCTTATTCACTGAAATAAGCAAGATCATCAGTTGAAGAATGAAAACTGGGAGGAGTGTTAAACATTTGAAGAGAAAAATGAAGATGGTAAAATAATCGTCTTCAACAATTGGAGAAGAAATTTCTAAGTACATGTAGAATGGGTAGAAGATAACAAACTTGACCCTCTTGAGATTTGAAGACACATATTTAAAATAAAGTCAATCAACAAGATTGTGTTTTTCTACAGTTATGTTCAAACACTAGAATGTAAAATTTGGAGGAGTTGGTGTAGAAGAGAGTAACTACAGTGATGGTTCACAGAATCTGAGCTAGAAAAAATAACAGACCCCATCGGTAGAACTATTCTGAACTGAAGATCTGAATAGGATTGAATTAATGTGCACAGATACTAGAAAAACCAAGCTGGAAAAAAGAAGAGGTAGCACTAGAGGGTAGGATGGTTGAATTGAGATTTTCAAAATGAAATAGCAATGGTCGCAGTGATTGGTACAATGAGAAAGGGTAAAGTATGCAGCATAAGAATGGGAACTCAGAGGAACCAAAGAACAGGATCGGTAAAAATTAAGGGTATTGAACAGATCATTAAAACCCCACAAGGGGAGTAAAATAGAAAGGAAAGAGCTAGGCTGGCAGCATGACTCAAGCAGTAGAGGACCTGCCTAGCAAGCACAAGCCTGAGATCAAACCCTAGGACCACCAAAAAGAAAAAAGAAGAGAGACAGGTACTAAATCTTCAGCAAATGAGGAAAAACCATCCAGAAAGGGGGCTGATAAGTGGAACAAAAAGAATACAGTTGTATAGCATTGTTTTAAAGTAATTTATAAGTAATCATCTCAAATTGGATAGCACTGCTTTAATGTAATTTATAAATAATCATCATGTTGAAAATGTCATTGAAAGCTTTAAAAATGCTTTTAACTAATAACATTACATGATATAGAAAAAATCCTATGAAAAATAACTAATGGAATTCATATAAATTCAAGTTTAAAGTAATATAATAATGCATATACACAAAAGGATGAATTTAGAATTCTGAACTTTCAAGCTTTAGTCACTCTACATCCTACCAGAAAGGAAGATGGGAATTGCACTTTTTGAAAGTTTTCCAAGAACTACAACTATATAATAACACATTTGATCATCAGAAAGCATTTTCTGCAAAATTATATTTTAAATGATAAATTAATTTTTAACTTTTCTTTAAAATCTGTATGACATTCTCTAAGTATCAAGATGATGTTCAGCCTAACACTATGTCCGAATGCTATCCAACAGCTATTAAAAACATTGCCAGATAGACTATCTCATGCAGACATACTCCAAATGCCCTATGAACTCCATGACAAATTTATTAAAGCACTAACCTATAAATTTTGGAAACTACTTTAGGCAGCAAACCCTGTCTACCTTTTGCAGATACACAAGATTAAACATGCAGTAATAGTTACATGTTTAAGGCAACTGAAAGTCCAACAGACCAGAAGCTGTTTGATCCAGCATTTCATAGTATTTGCTAATGAAATGTATTTTTCACTACATACATATTAAACAAAACAAGCTTTAAATAAACATTTAATGATTTATAAGCCAGACGTATACTAGAAGCTATCATACTAATGGCTTGGAATAACAATTTCTTCCAGGTTTAATTTTACTTTGACAAAACAGATATCCATAGATATAAAATATTGCTATACAGATGTTAAATGCAGTACACAGACAAGTACAAATTATTATGGACTTTTTAAAAATTCTTAAGATTTAATACCTGTTTCCACAATGGTTTCTGGTTCTGTTGTCTCCAGCCCATCCATGCTGTCTTCATCTTCCACTGTAGTTTTTCCTCTACTTCGAGGCCTACAGCGAAGAAATAAACATATATGGTTAAATGTTAAATTTTTTTGTATTTCTTTTTTGAGACAAGGTCTCACTATGTAGCCCAAGCTGCCCTCGAATTTGAAATCCTGCCTCAGCCTCCCAAGTGCTGGGATTACAGGAATGTACCACCACACAGAACTAAATGTTAAATTTTAAGGCTTAAAATTATACTCCACATGAATTACAATTTGTAGATATAACAAATAATTTAGGCATTTACCAGCATTTTACCGTATCATATAGTAACCATCAGAGTTCATATTTGTTTTCTTCCTTACATCCTAACTACTCTGAGACAAACTCAAGTTAATGTATTTGTGTCATCATAACTCACGTACTGAAAAACTCTTCATTCTGGATTTTGATGCTCTTTGATACATGACTCCCTCTCTATCTACAATAGTGGCTTATAACTACCTAATAAATTCTTTACAAAGTTCACATACCAGTTCATACATCTATATTTAATGATACTGATGAGTGATACCCAGATAAAAGCATTTATTCAAAGCTCACATAAGGATAGGAGGCATGGCTCAAGTGGTACTGGCACCTGCTTAGAAAGACCTTAGTTCAAACTCCAATACCCTCTCTCCAAAATAAAAGCTCACATAAGTAACTGTGATATACACTGACTAAAAGAGAAAAAAATATTCTAAAATTCTACAAATTAAGTGTGACCTAATCAGGTCACCTTTCCAGTAAAATAAAGGTAAGAATCATGGTAAGACTCTTTGACCTAATGCAAGTTTATATGGACAGATGCATGAATGCATGCCAGGTGTCGTGGCTCATGCCTATAATTCTAGCTACTCTGGAGGCAGAAACTAGGAGGGCTGTGGTTCAAGGTCAGCCTGGGGGAAAAGTTCTTTTTTGTTTGGTTGGTTTTGAGTTTTAAACCATTGTATTTTGGCCAAGATTAGTAGAGCAGCCATAGTTAATAACAAATGCAAAACCCCAAATACTCATTATGAAACACATTTGCTCTATTAGTGAAAATAAAAGAAGAAATAAATTAAGTACATAGCTAACTTGTGAATGTACACCTGTCTTAATAGTTTAGATGACTCTAAATCTCCAGACTGTGGGATGGCAATTGGCTTATTTGGGCAAAAAGTTCTTGAGACCCCCCCACCCACACACACCCACCCCCATCCCTCCATCTCAATCAATAAAAGCAGGAGACTGGAGAAGACAGGCATGCCTGTCATCACAGCTATGACACAAGCCGAAGTAGGAAGATTATGGTCCAGGCTAGCCTGGGCATTAATGCAAGATCCTATATGGAAACATAACTAAAGCAAAAAGGGCTAGGAGTATAACTCAAGTGGTAGAGCACACCTCTCCCGCCCAAAAATAGTAATAACAACCTAATACTTTGTATTTATTTTGAAGTACCTCAGATGAGGAGAGGGAAGGAAGGAGGGAGGGAGGAAACGAAAGAGAGGGAGGGAGGAAGGGAGGGAGGGAGGGAGGAAGGAAGGAAGGAAGGAAGGAAGGAAGGAAGGAAGGAAATTAAAAACACAAGTAAAACAGGGTATTACAAATAAATACTTAGAAACTGGCAAAAGCAATACCCATAATGTTAAAGCTTTATGTTATTTTCTGACTTAAAAAGAAAAACATACAAAAGAGCTCAGAATGACTGAAAAAATGGAGAGTAAGGAATGAAAGCTTAATAATATCAGAGAATCTTATTTTTAAAAGAAAGTTAACCAACATAAGCAATAAAAGAGATATAAATAAGAAAATATTAAAAGGTACAGTGATCCAAGTGAATTATTTAAAAGTGAATTATTGCAAGCTTCCAAAAAGTCATCTGGGAAAACAACTGAGAAGAAATATCTGCCGGGTGCCAGAGGCTCACTCTTGTAATCCCAGCTACTTGGGAGGCTGAGATCAGGAGTATGAATATTTGAGACCAGCCTGGGCAAATAGTTCATGAGACTACCCCATCTTAAAAATAACCAGAGCAAAATGAATTAGAGGTATGGCTCAAGCTTTAGAGTGCCTGCTTTGCAAGCATGAAGTCCTGAGTTCAAAACCCCAGTTCCACCGAAAACAAAACAAAACAAAACAAAATCTGAATCACCTGTCACCCTACACTCAGGAGGCTGAAGGCCAGCCTGGGCTACATAGTGAGACTATGACTCAAAACACCAAAAACACTAAGCTAAATACTAGTAAATATAATCAGAATACAAGGCTGATTTAATATTAGGAACTGTCAATATAATTTAACAAGCCTTTAAACAGACAAAATAGTATTTAAAACTTCATGAGGAGAGCAATGAAGATGGGAAAGGGTGATCAGAGCTAAAACTTTCTACAATTGTATGTTCTCCTACATGGAAACAAAAAGAAAAATGCACAGTTAATAGAAAATAACAAGGAAAGGTAAAAATAAATACAAATATGAATTTTCACAGTAAATATGAATGGTTTAAACTCTGTCATTATTTAATCATAAAAAGATTAATTTGCCCAAATACCATAACACCACAGAACTTTACATTATATAAAGTAATCATTTATGCAATAAAAGACATTGATAGCTAATCATTATGAACGATAGTATATAAATCTCAGAAACTGGCACATGAAACATTTATGATTCATAAATGGAATATCCATTTTTAAAGAAATACACAAATGTATGTTTTAGCTGGCTTTTTCACTTATCTTCCAGACCAATGTTCTGTCCTATTATGAGTGTCTTTTACTCCACAGTACTACCAGTCTGTATTATTATTTCGAGACGACTGGCTTTATAACCTGTCAGTTGTCAGCATTCTGCAACCTACTTCTCAAAAAGGACTCTTATTTTAATTCTTGTCCCCCTCACACAGATCCCTCTTCTGACTTCTCCTATCCTTGGTTTCAGAATGTGTGCCTTATATTCATTAACCCATCAGAACTTTTTTATCAACACCGTATCCTTTTCAAACTTCTCATATTTCATTCATGTTTTTCTGCGTTTGGTTTTGGTTTTTTGAGGTTTTGTGTTTTTTTTTTTGGTTGGGGAATAATCCTGGGGTTGGAATTTAGGACCTCATTCTTACTAAGCAGGCACTTTACCACTTGAGCAACTCAGTCAGCCCCATTCATGTCTTTCTTAATTTTCCTCACTGGTTTCTAGTATGTGATTATTATGACTAACCACACCCCCATTTCCAAATGCAAAAGATAATAGTCATATTATCAAAACCCTATCAGTTGCCAATTTCCATATTTAAATAGTAAATAGAAGTAAGGCCAGACTGGGGAACACTGCAAGACCCCCATCTTCCAAAAAAAAAGGAAAAAAGATGCATATATTTTGTATTTCCATACTGGTTCAGAATTTTTTTTTTAATTTTTATTTTATTCATATGTGCATACAATGTTTGAGCCAGTTCTCCCCACTTCCCCCACCCCCTCGATACCCAGCAGAAACTATTTTGCCCTTATCTCTAATTTTGTTGTAAGAGAGTATAAGCAATAATAGGAAGGAACAAGGGGTTTTGCTGATTGAGATAAGGATAGCTATACAGGGAGTTAACTCGCATTGATTTCCTGTGCATGTGTGTTAACTTCTAAGTTAATTCTTCTTGATCTGACCTTTTCTCTAGTTTCTGGTCCCCTTCTCCTATTGGCCTCAGTTGCTTTAAAGTATCTGCTTTAGTTTCTCTGCGTTGAGGGCAACAAATGCTATCTAGTTTTTTAGGTGTCTTACCTATCCTCATACCTCCCTTGTGTGCTGTCACTTTTATCATGTGCTCAAAGTGCAATCCCCTTGTTGTGTTTGCCCTTGATCTAATGTCCACATATGAAGGAGAACATATGATTTTTGGTCTTTTGTTGGTTCAGAATTTTTGATGGAAGTTTGAAGTCTAATTATAAACAACATAAGGGTTATTTTAATCCTTTGGGTTTTCTTAGTATTTTTCCTTTCTATCTCTTAACCCTTTCATTTTAGTTTTCTTTGCTTCACTTTATTGCAAGAAATTTGAATAGCTTCAGTTCTAAGAAAATTTTCTTCCAAAACTTAATGTTTCATATTAATGTTAGAAGCTGAAACTAATGAGTTCCTAAAATAAAAGACTTCTACTTAAAGACTCATGGGCGTTCACAGAGGGTTCAAAATTATTCTCCAGCCACCACAAACAAGTAGAAAACCAGACAAAAGACAGAAAAGATAGGACTATAATCCCTGAACAAAGTGAAACAAATTAGGTAAACCCTACCCTAGCATAGGCCTTCTGTATGGAGTTAATTTGCATGTTATAGCACAGAGAAGAACCTAGAGACTGGATCAAGAAGGCTGGGATTAATGGGACAGAGTACCCAAGAGGACAGAGAGATAGATATCTGCATCAGGACATTCTTTAGTTTTTTAACTATTAACAATCTGCATATGTGTGTGGTGAAATCTCATAAGGCTAATCATGAACTATTTCCAGAGAAGGAATAATTCCAGAAGAGTTGTAATATGAACAAGTCCCAGAGCTTGCAGAAAGTCAGCAGTCAGTCATGCTCCCTCTAGCCAGAGGGAGACCCCACAGACTATGTACAAAACATGCAACAGACTGGAGTAACACTCCTTTAGGAGTGGGGCTAATGAGATTTTGAACAAATGCTAGTCAAAAAGAGGTGTCAAGTCTCAAAAGAATCAAAATGGTTTACAACTAACTCACCTGCTGGACAAAAAAAATAAACACTTGTTAAAAGTTTACAACAAAATCCAGATTTCAACAAAAACAAAAAAGTCACAATGTATGATATCCAAATAAAAATTATAAGATACAGAAATGGGAAAATGTGAGCCATAATCAGAAGAAATGTCAAGGACCAGAAACAAACAGGAAAAAAGAGAGCGAAATTATAGAAAAAAATGATGGACATTAAAACAGCTCTTCTAAGTATGCTTCACATGCTCAAGAATGCAAAAGAAAACATGAGTGTGAGAGACAGAAGATAATAAAAGGGGGCTCGTAAAA